AAGGTGGACAAAATTATGGTTTTGTATTTATTTACTATTTACTTACGTATGATAGTGTACTCTGTAACTTTTTTTATTTTTAATTAATTTAAACTGTTCAAAATTTAACTTGTATTAAAATTTATTGAATTGAAACACCTTTAGAAATTAAACGTTTTATTCTTACAAAAATTCAAGTGACTAAGGTATTTAAAACAAATCACAAAACGGTGGAAACCTAGAGTTAAACTAACATAAAAAACTAGAAGACAAAAACAAATAATTAGTCAAGCTCAAGGGTTGTATTCTATTTGATCATCATCCTCAACGTCTTGGTTTTCTGTATTCTCATCTGTGACCGCTTCTTGTGTGTCTATGATTTTAGTAAAGTATCGACTCCAAGGTAAAGGTATATACGGCAATAAGTCAAGAATATCCTTTATTTTTGAGGCTGGTATTTTAATGGCGGTGCTGTAAAGTCTCGTCAATCCTTCATTGGCCAAATTAAAATAATTAGGATCATAATTTTGCCCCTTGCCTTTTTGTAGCTTGATTAGCGTTTTCACTTCAAAATTATAAGCAGAATGAACGAAGAAGCCTTGCTTGAAGTTCTCTGTAAATTCAAAGATCCTTCCATCTTTAAACTTCTCATGACCAACCATCTGAACTTTAGTTATTTTCTTTTGAAGATCGGAAAAATTTAAAATCATACCCCGCGTAAGTTGGACAACGGTAAACCGGTTATCGCTAAACATAAAAACTTTATTTAAGTTAACATCAGTTTTAGACAAATAATCATACAAGCAGCTGGCGATCTCACATAATCCACGTCTTCATGTACTTTCATCCCAAAGATACATTGTTGAAGAACCAGTTTTGACATTGTGGATGCAAAAGTTATAGGTCCACAGTTTCCTTTTGTAGTACTGAATCCCAGTAGTTAGTTTTGGGGTCGGCAAGGCTTGCTGTAGATCAAATCATTTATTCTAACAGGTCTCTTTCGCGAATAACCCGACACAATGCGATTATCGGAAAGTTCTGCTCTTAAGCACAGTAAAATAAACGAACTTAACACGCGGGAAGCTTCAACTACAATAAATAATAAAGAATAGTCCACTAACACTACCAGGCTGCTGGCCTCTGTCGCTTGCTCCGCGCGAAAATGTTGAGTTCGCCCTTACTACCTGCTCGGCTATCGTCTGATTGAAATTGATATATTCCTAGTGTGTTTATTTTGAAGATGAAACAAGGTTAAACTTAACATTTTAACCGTTATGAGTGGTAGGAAATGTATTTTAAAATGGTATTATGCAAAAAAAAAATTTGACCCAATGTTGAGTTTGACCTTACTATCGGCAACGCCTCATATCACCAAGCTACAAAAAATTAAAGTTTTTGACAAGAAAGTGCAAATCTCTTTACCCTGGTGTTTTGAGACACCCTGAAAAAATCAAGTGAACAGTGTTTGATGAAGATCTTTGTAGTGCATTGGTAACATGAAATATCCCATTGTCAAAGAAGAATCTTAAACTTTTTCTTCAGAAATATTGTAAAACTAACATTCCAAGCCAGACAATGTTCATTCTATGGTGACTAAAAGAATTTGCATGCATAAACTAAATTATATGCATTGATTCTGCTGCGCGTTATATCATTTATTGATTGCAGTTCTTAACTAGCAATCCTGCACAAAAGCACATTTGATTGCCTACAAGCAGATAGAAAAAATCAATGCTTTAACGGTTATAAAATTGACCAAATTGATCATGTTATAATTGGCAGAAGGCATTTTGTAACCCCCCTAATGGATATCAAAAGTTACAGAGACCCAAATATTGACTAGGATCACTTGATGGTAGGAGCCAAGTTTTGACAAAGGATTTCCAATGCAAAAAAAATAAAAGAGGCACTAGACAAATAAAATACAGTTTACATAGCTAAATAATGAAAAAAAAAACAAATCAGTAGACATGGCAGCTGTGGTAGATAGAGCTAGTAACACAGGACGCAGAGAAGATCAGTGTTCCCAACTGGAAAATCCAAGCGACAGACAGAGCAGAATAGCACAGAAAGCTTGAGAAGGTTGAGGTACCCTAAAGGCTGTAGCACAGTGATTATGCTGATGAAAATCTAAATATTTTCATCTATATAACTACATGTATATTTATGTGCCTGATTGGCACTGTTTGGTACATACATTGGTTTTAGATAAGATAGTGTTATCTGGATATTCTGGATATCCAGTTTTCACTGTTTTGGAGGCTTGCAAGGAGGTCAAAAAAGTTTCCCTAAACATAAAATATTTGTAGATAGGTCATTAATTCTGATTTTGGCCCTTGTTATTTGTGACCTTCCTTTTCTTTTTGTCTATAACTTTATACTTTTCCAGTTAAAGAATTTTAAGCTAAGCTGGTGTCCTTTAAAACAGATTTTATCTATCCTTTTCTATCAACTGTTATTTCATTAATTTCATCTGATTTTTTCGTTCGCTCTACTTATTTTACTTAATTTCCAGGTTTTCCTTATCCCTCAAGGGTTTGAACATGATTCCACACCAAAAATTTTTTAATTTATAATTTAACTGATCACCCATCATGCTTTGGATAGCACATAAAGCTGTTATATAGATAACACATAAAGATGACGAAAAAGTCATCTAAAACAAATTTTTTCAAGATTTTCTAGTAATTTTTCACTTAAAGGTTATTTTCCTTTATCTATTGATTTTACTTAATTTCCACATTCTCCTTGGTCCTTTTTCCCCTTTCCAATTTCACAGTTCTGTTTGGATGAATTTGCAGAATTTCTATCATTAGGTTTTTACAAGCCTTACTTATCTAAGTACGTTATTCTGTTCTTGGTTGTAGCATGATTATGTTCTAGAAAGGGAATTGAACTAATCACAAACCATGTCTATGTTTACCTTTACTATTTGTTTTTGTATTTTTCTATTTATGTTCCTCAATAGTCCAATATTGATATAAGTTTGATTTACAGCAAAACTATGCACAAAAATCAATAATCTCTGTGATATTTAAAATCTTCACAACTGTAATAAATAGTATCCTTTACAAAAGCTTACAATTGGACTAAATGTGAAAGCCAAAGTAGCAATTTACATTAAGATTTTTCACATGCTCTTTTTTATTCATGTTATCCATAAATGTTTTTATCTATTGCTATTACAGTGGAACCTCGATTATCCGTCAGGGCACCGGACCAAGGGTATGACGGATAATCGAAAAGACGGTTAACAGAACAGAATTCATAGTATAATTCAAATTTTATTTGTATGTTTTATTGACAATATAAGAGGGATTTAGTAATACTAAACAAAACTAACAAATCTTTGTTAGTTTTATTGTTACTTCACATTTTGCAGCGGCTGAATTTCTTAATCGACGTAAAATCATCAAATTTACCTTATTTGCTTCTTCTTGCCGAGAATACCACTTGATAAATTGTTGTATGTGCGATTCAGCTTCTCTAGCTTTACGCAAATCTTTGTGAGTTGTAATAGCATCATCAACATTGCCACCATCAAAGTCTCTGTTAGCTTCTGAATCAGTTTCGTCCGCCTCTGTTGCCATTTCAACGATTTCATCATCTGTCAGCAATCGATAGCCGTTTGCGTCCTTATCACAAATTAACCATTCGTTTATGTCATCTTTAGGCAACGAAAACAAAACAGTTGATTCAGCCATATCTTCATTTAAGGGGAGTATTTTCATCTAACTTGATTCAGGCTATAATTTATTCCACGCTCTGTTCAACGTTACTTCCGAAACATAAGCCCAACCATTCATCCACAGCATTGTCGACTGCGTGTTTTAAATTGTATGCTTTCCAGTATTTTGGCAAAGAATATTCCTCTTTCATAACTAGTTTTTGAATAAATTTTTTTCTGTATCTTCCTTTGAATGTTTTAATGACCGAATGATCCATTGTCTGTATCAATGATGTTGTATTCGCAGGCAGAAAAGAGTACGTGATTTTTTATTGTCACTCCGCAGCATACCGGCTTTAGGATGGGCAGGTGCATTGTCCAAAATGAGAATCGTCTTTGGTGGAGAATTTTTTGCAAACAAAATGAATTGATGAGTAAATTTTTACTTATGTTGTCAATATACCTTATGTATGGACCCTGACGGTTAACAGAGGTGACGGTTAATAGAGAGACGGATAATCGAGGTTCCACTGTATTACAATAGTGTTTCTTTTTTATTATTCACATATCTTTGTTGCCTCACATTTTCCGGTACATATCTTTATGAATTCATTTCCATTTCTTTAAATCCATAAATCCAAGTCGATAATGAGTTCATTTTGCTTTTCCGAGCCTCTATTTTAAACCTCTACCTTATATGTACCACCTTACATCCATTCTTCTACAATTGATTTTGCTTGTAACGCTCTTTTATTCTCAAATATGCCTGTGTCAGTCTAGACAGTCTTAAATTTGTTATATTCTCGTTTTCTTGTTATGTCCATTGTTTTCCTTAAATCAGTTTGATGTAGCTATATATTGATTTCTAGTAATTCTTGATTAACCTTCAAATTTATTTATATAACAACTAATGTAGCTCTTATTTTTAAATTGTATAAAATTTGATGTCAACTCACCCCTTTAATATCATCAATAGAATACAACAAACACCTTGAAAACCATCCACGTTCACTTGAACACTTTATATAACATCAATCTAATAAAAGCGAAATACCGCCCGATTAACCGTAAATGGAACAGTCAGAGATTGTAGTAATTTTATTCACAGCATTTCACTAAACTGTAATTTCAAACTGTAAAACCTCCTACAATTCTATTTCGTATCCGTCGAATTACCGACCTTGCTACTTGCTGTTCCACTCTGCACTTTAAAACAACAAATCTGACTGGTGACTGCGTCATTTGGCACAAATACGTGCAAATACGAGCCGATTTGGGAAGGGGTAAAATGTAAAATCAAATTGAGCAATAGAAACAGAAGATACTGAACACCAATAATAAAAAAAGACGGAGATTTCGCCGTAAAATTACAAACGATTGTGCAATGAACAGAATTCAAATACAAACAAAACAAGTTTATTTGTAGTGACAGCTCTGATCTCGTGCGTGAAAAAATTATCATTTTGTTTCTTGTTCTACAACGAAAAGTTGTATATATCTATTTCGATTTACTAACCTGCAAATAATTTTTAATCAAACGTCAGAGTAGTGACAGTGAGTAGTTCAAAATCGAAACGTCACCCTGGTTACCAATTGTAAGGTTAGAAAACAAATAGTAAATAATATTTTTAAAAATATTTTGTGGAGTTAATTAAATATGTCAAACAATGCGAAATCCATTTTTCTTGATGTTGACTCCAGTATCGTCGAACAAAATCTTAGAATTAGGGTAAGAATTGTTTTTAGTTAAGTAGTTTCGATAAATAAATATACTCCGATTTTAGAAGAATTCTGAAGAAGATGAACTCCACAAGTTGTTAGAACACAAGAGTTATCCATCTAAATTAATCAAGCCAACACCGGGTAAGTAATATAGTTATATATGATCTAATAATATATATTTATATACCTACAATAATCTATAGATGTGGAACCTAAATGATAGCCACAATTACAATAATTTTTCCTTACTTCAATAGACATTGAGAGTCTCTAGTTGAAAAGCATCGCAGTATAATATACTGACAAATATGTTGCATATAATTTAGTTTATAATTATCATGTTGCTTGACATAAAAAAATTATCAAAGTTTTCAAGGCATTGGATACACTTAAAATTGGCATTTTGACTGAATAAATAATAAACCTAGTGAACTTTGTGTAATAGATCCTCTATTTTTAAATTAATCAAACACTGCCTGTGATAGATATTAGCTATTATTTATTGATAATAAAATTAAAAATTCAGGTCAACAGCCTTCTCAGTGCTCTCAATAGATTGTATCATAACTCTTTCTTTATGTTGGTTTTCTTTGATGTTACTTTTTTAGCATCAACATTATTAGTTTTCATTGTAGATATATTTATAAAAAATAATGAATTCAATCTATGTTGATAGTGAAAAATGAAGATATAATACATAAAGTATTTATTTAATGTTAAAACAAGTAGGTATATATTTTTGCTATGTTATAGAAGATACCTTTTTGCTTAAATATACTATTTTTAACTATTTTTATATAATTATTTAGATAAATAATTATCCATGGTCAACCAATTTTTTCCTAATCCCAGCAGTAGGAATTACATAATATATAATAGACTTGTAAAGCTTTTTTAAATATCTTTTAGCTTCATAAATAATAATAATGACATGATAGAAAATTAATCATTTGTCCCCCATAGGATTCTGACTAAAGCATTTAAACCTAATTATATTCATAAATTGTTTAGGCAAGGTCAAGAATAGTTGTTGGAACCTCATTTAATGTGTAGAAATATATTCAGTACAATTTAATGTTATTAACCATCTATACAGAGTGGACCAAAAGTTTGAAAATGCATAATTATCTCTCATTTGCCAGACTTACCATTTTTCTGATTCCATTAGCCACTTTGGTTTTTTAAATACAGCACGATGTATACTGTACATTTGTTGACATATCCACTTCAATACCAGTTCAACTGTGTACAATACTCTCGATTTTATATAGTTAGGACTAACTTAAAAAGATAAAATAAAAGTCTTGAAACGCCTAAATGTCTCAATAAATTTTTTGGTTCAAGCTATGTATAACTGAAGTTGAATATGATAACTAAAAGTTTACTACATTGCAAAATTAATGGCTACCTAATTAAGTGTTCAAAATGTCCTCCATTGTTAATTTGGCTGTATCCTAAACAATGGTAGAATGTGTATGTTAGTTTTCTCTATGATTCTCTATAAATTAATATGGATTCATCATTAATTCGTTGCCTTAGCTTTGTGACACTTGCTGATTTAATTGTATAAATTCTACTTGTCAGGTATTCCAATAAAAATGGGATTCTGATCAATTGAAAATTCATATTTTTCTTTTTACAAATATGTATGTAGACAATGGGATTGGTTATTTCTTTACAGTTTTGGTTTAAGAAATGGATTGGGAAGACATAAGGCTGCTTACTCAGAGAAATAGGAACTAATCACCTAAATGTTAAATGTATTAGCCTGTTTCATTGATTACAGAGTGATTTTTGAGTGTGTGTATCAATCACAAGCTGATTTTGATCCTTAAATCACTTTAATAAGTGGTATAATAGGCAACTCTAGAAAACTTAGAAGTAAAGGCAGTTACATTTGTAAATTGATGCAGTTTTATTTTTTTGATAAACTGCATGTGAATAATTTTTTACTTTGTAGTAAAATATGTGTGAAGGACATTTAAATAATGATTGTAGACTAACATATAATCATTCTGAAAAAACAATGACCAGTTGCGATACAGACAAAATTCGGCCGATCTATCACTGGCTTTATTCCTCTTCATAAAAAGTAATTATGTTACAACTACATACCCCAAAAGTTAATGAATGTAGTACAAGTCTATACACGTACAGCTCAGAGTGAAGATAAGTAGAACAATTATTACAAAACTATTAAAAAACATATACTGCTAAAAGTGATAATTCCCATTAGTTGGCTGTATACCAAACAGTTAAAAAATCTACATTAAAATGAGTTTATTAAAGCTCAAAATGTTCGTTTTTCATTGTACTATAGTCCTCATTGACATAAAAATCGTTTTTTTTACACCTAAATTGTATACATTAAACATTATATTTTTGTCAAAATCATCGAGTTAGAATCAATGGTCAAAATTTTAAAAATTTATTAGCTCAAAAAGCTTATAATCATAGCTTTAAATTTAAAAACATTCCTTCGTATCATAAAAATGCTTTTCTAAACTTTTATTAAGAAATTTGCAATAGAAACGAAGTTATTCGTCTTTTTCTTTTGGCGTCATAACCCTGGTTGGGTCTTTTCCTGTCTGGTTATGTCCTTCCATTCAGATCTCTCTTGACCTTTCTCCTTCATTGTCTTATATTCATGGTTTTGAGGTTGTTTTCCACGTCATCCAACCATCTGGCTGGGCCTTTCTTTTTTCCGCCTTCCTACCGGCTTCCACTGTAATCTTCATCTTCTTTGTCGTTTTCTTGTAGCTGAACATGTCCCAGCTATGACAGTCTTTGACATTTCACAAATCTTACAATGTCATACTCATTCAGATTATTAACCTCGTCGTTTCTCCTGATTCTCCATGTGCGTCTTCCTCTTGCACCGGGCCATATACTTTTCTCAGTATCTCTCTCTCGGATGTCCTGAGTTGGGCTTCCTCTTTTTTCGTCATTACCCAGGTTTCACAACCATAGGCTACTACGGGTCTAATCAAAGTTCTGTAGATAGTCATGTTGGTCTAATAATTTCGATGTCATCAATTTTTTATTAGCATAGTTTGCACTGTTATGGTGTTTATATGGCTGGTTGCATTGGTTTTTCTGATGACTGCTTCAAGAACTAGGTTGAACAGAGTGGTTGAAAGTGCGTCTTCCTGTCTCACCTCCATGTTGATGTCAAACAGGGAAGACAGTTCTCCATCTACTCTAACTGCCTCTTTTGAGCACTGCAACATCATTTTTAAGAGGCTGATATATTATTTGGTACACCTAGATTTCGGAGGTCTTCCAGCATTTCGTCTCTTTTTACAGAGACCATCAAAATAAACGAAGTTATAGCTGTATTTATAACGATATACACCTGACTGAAAACTCTTTGTATACAACACCGCGTGCCCCTCTTTACCTGTGCACATACAAGTCAACAATTGCTCTCTAAAACTTATAAAAGTGAGCACGTTTTTTATATTATTGAGATCTATCGAAATTTCTTGTTTTGAAAATCGGAAAAAATGCCTGGATATGGTGAACATTTAAAAGGCAGTCGAAGTAAGGGGACGCATTGAAATAAGCATAACATGAAAACAAAATTTAAAGGTAATCAGTTTACTACAGAAAACAATTGTGAATTTATAAAATTGGAGAAATATTTAGCAACAAGCTGGTCGGAAAATATCGACGAAGCTTGTGTTGCTCAACCAACAGAAGGAGCAGCGAGATATCAAAAGAGGATAAAGTTATGAAAAAAGCTTTGGCCGATCATTTACAGCTTTTACTGGACAGTGAGGACACCAGGAATAGCTCATTATAGGTACCAATAAATAAGGCTATTCTTTTCTAAAAGCACGCAGGCTTGATCGAGAAACTCCACCTTGCTGGACTGCCAACACCTTTCGTTAAACTAATAAATTCCTATCTCTCTCACCGGACGGTTCGGATCAAAATAGGAGAGCATCTCTCCACTCCATTCACTCCTCAAGCAGGAGTACCCCAAGGCTCAATACTGGCTCCAATATTATACACAGTTTACAATAGCGACATCCCCCGCCCACAGCAAGGATCAGAGTCTCTACTCCTATTCGCTGATGATACAGCCATTCTCACCTCAGGTTCCTACAGGGAAGGAGAGCGACGGTCTGTATTCGAGAAATCGCAAGATTATCTTGATAGAGTCGTGAGGTGGTGCAACAAATGGAGGGTTACTTTAAACCCCTCCAAAACACAAGCAATATAATTTAGACCTCCGTACGGACGCGGCCTTCAGGGCCGGGTGACACTTTTGGGAGAGGACCTTATTCTCAGGAACTCAGTTCTCTACTTGGGAGTTCGTTTTACGAGAACTCTCAATTGGAAGGTAGACGTCCAAGATTCCCTTGACAGGATGAGAAAAAGTTTGTTTGCTTTAACTAAATGGTTTATACTTATTTTAGGCATTTTTAAACCTGATGATGGAATTATTATTCCGAAAACTTTCGTGTTATTTGATGTAGCCTTTTAAGAATTTTTTAAATATACCCATTTACAAAGATCTAACCTCTTTGTTGTTTATTTATTAGTTTTAAGTCTCACGATTGAATTCCGTTGGAATTAATAAAGGTTGTTACGGTTATTTGTAAATATAATAGTTCTTTTTTGTTTAATATCTATTTAAAAATTATCTTTTTTCAATCATGTCCTGTCCTGTTCAAACATTGGGATTATCATGCTGAAGATTCGGATTCATCGTGTCAAAATACATAAATACGTTGTAAAATCATTGCCTCTCAAATCCAATCTCTCAAAACCTTCTTTTGCGCCCTTAAAATTATTGTGTCGTGGATATGAATATCCAAAGATATCAAAACATCAGTATTTTTAGTGTTACTAAAAAACTTATCCTCTTGCTGTTTTATAATTAAATCTTTTTTATCGTTCTGTTCTGGCGCTCCTATAGTGCCATTTCCGGTACTTAATAGTAATTGCTGTAGGATTATTGAAGAATATTGCGCAATCGGTTATATAAAATATCAGTTGATGTATTTATAATAATGTTATCTACTTCTGTATAAGGTTAGTCACATATGTAAATTATTAACTAGAATCATACAATTAAAATTTATCTATTCATTCATATACAAGGCACAAAAAGTTTATATTTAATAAAATAT